AGAAAGAGGAAAGAGAGAGAGGGGAGAGGATAGAGAGAGAGGGAGAGGAAAGAGAGAGAAAGAGAGAGGAAAGAGAAAGAGAGAGGGGGAGAGGAAAGAGAGAGAGAGAGAGAGAGGATCTATTATATTATGCAATGAAGAAAACTTTGAAGGTGCTCATAATCCTTACATGAAATATTCAATAGAAAAATATCAAAAAGCAGAGACAGAGAGACTAGGATATAATTACTTCTTCAAGCCAGCTTCAATTTTGATATTTTTCTTGCCGAAGTTTACAATATGCTTCCTGATTTACTGGGAAACTACTCCACCTTCTGGAGTTCCAAGCAGACTAACCTCTGTTTGCTTTCAATGAATTCTGAGAGCAACTGATGCTGTGGCACTTTTGAGGCTTACAAAGGAGGGGATCTAAAGAGTTGTTCTGAAAGTATTGGCCATCTCTCAATCAGCTCATTCAGCACGGGTAGTCCTCAACTTACAACTGTTCATTTAATGAGCATTTGAAATTATGATAGCATTGGATGAAGGGACTTGCGAATGGTGCCCAAAGTTACGAATGTTGCAGCACCTCTGCAGTCATGTGATTGTGATCAGAGCTCTTGGCAACCAATTCACACTTACAACAGGCTGACAAGCTCTTCGTGATCGTGTGGTTGCCATTTGCAATTTTAACTGCTGGCTTCCTCAGAAAATCAACAAGGAAACGGAGAGCGGCAGAGGTTGAAGACCTGGCTCACATCCTATTTCACTGCTGCCTGTATAAGAGGATGAGCGTCAGGTACCTGGGCCTATACATTAAACAAAAGACCCACTGGAACCCCCATATCAAAATAACTTACCTTATGTATGGCCAGAATTTGAAAATTACATTTAACACAGCACAGTACCTGAGCAAAATGGTTCGGCTGAGATCGGCATATGTGAGACTGATTGGGGTAGATGGTAGGGGTGATAGTGAAATATAATTTCATCATATTTTATCTATCTACATCTTAAATTGCCATATTTGAGTCTAATTTCATTTTAAAAATGTATTTTATCCCAATTTCATTTTAAATTGTATTTTATTTCTATTTTATCCTAAGTTTAACCAATTTCATTCTAAATTGTTTTTACTGCATTTTAGTATAATGTGTGTTTGGAACTATGCACCTTGATATGGCCCACAGGCTAATTAATAAGGATGATGGTGATGATGATGATGATGATGATGATGATCAACAGGGAAATGGGCAGGGAAGGTCACAATGATTTTGTTTTTCTGGTGCCCTGCCCTGCTCTCCTTGGGAGACTTCTCCACAGTGTGCACCATCTTCCTTTCACATTGTGGACTAGAAAGATTTCCTAACCTTCTGTCACATAAAGGGGAGGGGATCCGGCATGACAAACCAGAGAAAGAAGCATGGCGGTCATCAGGATCCGGGACTTCCTTTCTCCAGCCGGTTCTGTGCCCAGAGAGGAACTGCCTGCCCTTTTTCAGCAAGCAACTCTTTCACTTCATTCAACAATGAGGGTCATATGGCTGCCAGCCTTAATAACTGCAATGACTACGTGGGACAATTCTACGTGGGACAAATGTCACGTCAATTAAAAACCAGGATCCACAAACACTGGCTGGCAGTCAAACACCACGATCCCAAATCCTTAATCTCTACCCACACTGACACCAAACAAGACCAGTTCGAAAGGAGCAACACTAAAATCATCGGTCACGCTACCACCCACCAAGCTCATGAAGTTCATCGAAGGCTGGCACTCCACAAGCAGTTCCATCAACAGACACATCGACCTACAACCAAGCCTACGAACCCCACAGAATCCAAATCAACTGCCCAGCCAACCAGAGACAGCACTGACCCTCAACTTCCCACGCAAGCCCCTGCAACCAGTGGTTCATCTCCCAATGACCCTCACCTGATTTAACCTCCCCATCGCAAGACCCAGCACAAGACTCCCACTGATGACTCACACCTGACCCATCACAAAACCCTCACTTGACACACCCACACCTGACCCATCACAAGACCTGCTGACCCCCTACTGACCATAAACAGAAGAAAACTGACACTGACATCCCCCTAAACTCCGCTGAAGATGTCACCTAGCCTGGTAACCCACAAGCTTGGAGGACGAACCTTCACCCTCATTCTGCACCCGAGCAACAGGTATTTGCCACTGTTGCAATGACTTAGCATTGTAATAAGTAGACTCCAATATAGTCATAAGTCAAGGACTACCCATCACAAATCTGAAATACAGGTAGTCCTCAACCTAGGAGCACAATTGGGACTGAAGCTTTGGTCACTAAGCGATGCAATCATAAAGCAAGGCGTCATGAGACTGCCTCACTTAGTGAGCACAATGCCAGCACTCATTAATCCCATTGTTAAACGAGAATTGTAGATTGTGAAGCAGAGGATGTCCCAGATAGGGCGTGCAGGGGTGCCTGTGGGGTGGGCGGGGGCAGTCCAGGCTGTACACAATTTGGAGGGAGGGCTGCTGCAGCCACTCCTGGAAACCTCAGCTGGCCCAGCAACGCAGCACAAAGCTACCACACCCAGGAAACCTCACACACACACACACACACACACACACACACACACACACACACACCATCTGACCAAGGGAGTTCCCTGCATTGTCTATCTCTCCCCACCCCTTCTAACCCATTTTGGTTGCCCTACACAGTGGCACTCATCAGTGGCAGTGCTGGCACTGGGGCTGAAATAAAAGTTTCCAATGCACTGCCCCACCTCTACTTCAACCCCAGAGCCTCTGTTGCTGCCAAGCGCTGCTGTGCAGGGGGGGGGTGTCAAAAGGGCATAGATGGGGGGGAAGATGGGGGGGAGAGTTGCAGCGTGGGCAGGCTGCCAAACCCCCAAATTTTGATCAAGTGTCTTTGAGGGCCCTGCAACAGCCATAACTTCAGGTACAGAGGAACAATTGGTTATAAATTGAGGACAACAGTATAACCAAGTGAACATATTAGACATATTAATTTATATTTGTAGACAATCATACCCGATTAAAAATAGCACTCGGTTGGCTATACTCCCAGCAATTAGTATTCAGAGATACACTGCCAAATGGGAGACTATCCAAACTGTATATTACTTTGAATTCAATTTCAAGATGCTTTAGAACATTTGGGGGGGTGAAAACATAGTACTTGCCTACAATTCTTTAAAAACAGATGTGCTTTTTCCCCAGATTGCATGTCAGCTATGATCATTTAGAAGCCATAAAATTGATAAAACATTCACAACTTAATGGTTAATTTCTTTCAGTAGTTTAGGATCATCTTTTAAAGCCTGCAGAATCTATTGGTAAAAAATATTATGGTAGGTTGCACAGTCAGCCAGACATTTAGACTGGATTTGGCATTTTAATCCACCTATCAAATCCTCATTATTTATCACTCAATAAACGTGCATGTTGCTTGATTCTCAATGACTCTGGGTAGCTCAGTCAAATAAGTTACAATAAAATCAATACAAATTAAAAATAAAAATAAAGATTACAGATTCTCACAGCCCATCCTACCTCTAAAATAAATTGTGGAGATAAAAGAGATATCCATGGAAGTGTCAGCGAAAGCACCATATAAAATAAATAAGCACATAAGAAAAATACTACTGAATTGGGCCAAGGAAACATTCTAGGCATTAGCCAAATATATTAATTTAAAAAGCTCACAAACATGGATAGGAGAGTGATGGTCCATCACAATTTTGAGTGGTCATAGTCATATAAATAACTATAGGACTACCTATATAGTTATTTATAATTACTGGTTTGTTTAACCAAAATTGGGTTAAAGGTTGTTTATTCGCTATACCACCTACATTGGTCTACAAATCATGAGAAATAAATTTACCACCCATATTAAGCCAAAGTATAACAAAAGTCATTATAGCTTAGCATCCTCTCAGATTTAATCAACAGTAAACTTAATGTATCTGGACTTTTAGTTTAAAATCTCCATTTTCTATTAGTTGGTGCATTAAATTCTCAGCTATTCCTATACCCCAATGATGTAGAAGTCCTGGGCCAGTGTCTGAAATTAATAAGGACCTGGTGCAGATGTGAATAAAACAAGCTCAGATCAATACCCACAATGAAGGAGTTCCTAGCGGTGAGTAGACTTCTGCACACCCCAATAACACTATCCTCAGGACTCAGAAAATGGCTGTGCTCCTCTCAGAGGTGGTCTGTGACATCAGTACTTATGCCTTGACCACCAATTAGACCAGGGGTCTCCAAACTTGGCGGTTTTAAGACTTGTGGACTTCAAGTGCACAAGTCTGAGGCTGGCTGAGGAATTCTGGGAATTGAAGTCCACAAGTCTTAAAGCGGCCAAGTTTAAAGACCCCTGAATTAGACAATTTTGACATATTTTATATGGGCTGCCTTTGGAGACAACCTGGAAGTTATATAGATGGTGCAAAATGTAGCAACAGGATTATTTACAAGACAACCCTGCCAAAATTCATTTGTAATATAAGTAGCTATATTCATTGCTATTAGGCTTCTGGGCCCCGTTCAAAGCATTTTAATTTTCTTTTAAAAATTATTTTCAATGGTGAAATACAAAAAAAAAACCCTACACCAATAACAGAGATAATGGTTATACAGTGATTATATAATGATTATGATTCTATGTTGAAGAAAATACAGGTAGTCCTCAACTTACAACAGTTCATTGAGTGACCATTCAAAGTTACAGCAGCACTGAAAAAAGTGGCTTATGACCGTTTTTCACACTCACGACCGTTGCAGCATCCCTATGGTCACATGATCAAAATTCAGATGCTTGAAAACTGGCTCATATTCATGATGGTTGCCGTGTCCCGAGGGGTCATGTGATCCCCTTTTGCAACCTTCTGACAAGCAAAATCAATGGGGAACAGAAATTGCACGCTCAGTTATGGTCATAAGTCAAAGACTACCTGTAATAGCATCCTACATTCTAGAAAAAACAACAACAGTGGTTAACTTACCAAGAGAATCTGCTTGATTTTCAACTGTTTCATTCACCTTCTTAGCTACTCTGGCAACAGCTTCACCCATTTTTTTCTCCATGCAGGTATATCCAATCAGGAAAATCCTTTCAGAAAGGTCCTACAGCTAAGCAAACAAATACAAAAAATCAAACAGGTTCCACAGTGCTAATACTTCACAAAGGGTTAAAAAGCAGCTTTTCTGAAAGAAAAAAATATCAGTGTGTACAGTATTTAAAATTTACTGAGTTCTGCTAACGTTTAACAGATTAACATACCTGAAGGAGCAACAAGTTGTTTCTTCCTATAAGCTGGACATTTACAAAGAAAGAAATTCAGTAAGCAGATACATCGTGGAATGCAGCTCTCCATCAGGATGGGTACGTGTATGCAAACATGAATGTTCAAAAGGAAGTAAATTTGGAAAAAAGCTTATCTACTAAAGCAGAGGTCTTCAAACTTGGCCCTTTTATGACTCGTGGACTTCAACTCCCAGAATTCCTCAGCCAGCGTGCCTGGCTGAGGAATTCTGGGAGTTGAAGTCCATAAGTCATAAAAGGGCCAAGTTTGAAGACCCTTGTGCTAAAGCCTCTGTTTATGGAAGTTATTGTAGTTTATCAGGAACATTCATTAATAGGAAATCCCTTTTTTTCTGGACTGCTTATTAAAGTGCCTCTTCACTTTAGAAAAGGCACTTTAATAAGCAATTCCATCTACACTGCTACCTCAGTACTCGTCCTTAATTGGTTCTAGGAGACACAACGAGTACTAAAAAGGATGAGTACCAAACAAACCATATGACTTACCACGTGACCTTTTGTTTCAACCAGGAACGGCTTCCTATCTGTACCTTTTTCTATGTCACCAACCTTCCCAGCATGACAAACTCGTTGTCCGCCCTCTGCAACTGTCACCCACTTCATTTTGCAGCAACTTTCTCAGTCTGGCTGACTTCCATGAGTATTGGTACAACAATTTCACATCAAAATGCATCGAGTACGAAATTCAATGCGTTTTGAAGCAATCAAGTACCGAGGTACCACTGTATATGGTAAGAATTCAGAAAATGACAAGCAGGAAGATTCTAGCAGATATAGAAAACTCTAACATTGAATTTCCACCAAACATTCATTCAAATTTTTAGCTTCTGGAGGAAGAAATGGAGGATTGAAGACAGCTCTGAGAAAAGTGGAGATGATGGTGGTGACAGAATGAAGAAACAGCAAGCAGACTGGCTCTGTGAAACTCTCCAGACAAGAAGAAAACTTGAGATCACCCATAACGGCTCCAGACAGTTGCTCCTCATGAGTAGACCATAAGATAGCAATCTCCAGTGGACTTTGATAGCGGTGGGATTCAAATATGTGAACAACCAGTTTTCTGTGTGGATGCCGCTTCCAGAAGTCCATTCTGGGCCTGGGCAACAAAAAATTAGCTACCGGTTCTACTGAACTGGTGCGAACTGGCTGAATCCCAGCACTGGACTTAGACCTATGGAAGATGAGTAAATATCAGAGGTTTTTGAAAGGATACTAAAGTTGCATACTTCCTTTTCTAATCACTTTCAGAAATTTCTTGCTGGATCAACAGATTTGACAGCACCAGGTGAGTTTCTTCCAATCCTTAATGCACAAAGTTTTAAATACAAGTCTAAGAATGAAGGCGAATATAAGTGTCCCAGGAAAACTTTGCAGGATCCAGCCTGGATCAATCACACACACTCTGTCACAGAGAAGTTCCCTGAAGATGGGCTCCAGCATGATCCAAAAACTCAGAAGACAAAACTTCTGGTCCAGGTGACCAACTCAGAATGGATCCTGCAACAAGTTTCAGGATTTTTTTTTTAATAAACAGCAAAATGGTGATTAAAAGATCGATATTAGAAAGTTACAAATGGATTAAAGGTCTGTAAAGGTATGTGGGAAAGATCCTGAGAGACTGGGCCAACAGTACAAATGGTCAGATAGCAATAGCACTTAGACCAGTGTTTCTCAACCTTGACAATTTTAAGGCATGTGGACTTCAACTCCCAGAATTCCACAGCCAGCATTGCTGGCTGTGGAATTCTGGGAGTTGAAGTCCACATGCCTTAAAATTGTCAAGGTTGAGAAACACTGACTTAGACTTATATGCTGTTATGTCCCGAGCCTTGCAAACGGCTCGGGCGTTTGCAGGCAGTCCCGGGCAGGTGCAAAGCTGCCCGGGACCAGACAGGCTGTCGCCAGCGCCGTGCGCATGCGCGGGTGCTGGCGCGGGAAAAGTAACCCATTTACCCGGGAGTTGCCTATATAAGAGGCTGCGAGGCGTTTGGGCGAGGCTGAAGCCATCTTCCTGTAAGCTGAACGCTGAATAAATGAAACTGAGAACTCCAGCTGCTTCTCGTGTCTGTTTTCCCGCCACGGACTCAACACTGGCGACGAGGATGGGATGCCTTGCACTACCTGGAAAGGAAGAAGTGTAAGCTTACCCAAGGAGTCCTGAGCGGCGAAAGAGGAACGGCGTCGACTCGGCAGCTGCCCGCCAATCCGGTGCGCATTCGGGGGTAGGCTGGCTGATAGACCCGTCTCCTGAAGATCCGAAGATGGCGAAAATCGGAAGGCTTTCGGAATTCGACGTCTCACATCCAGAGCGGTGGGAGTCCTACGTATCCAGAATGGAGAACTACTTCAAGGCAAACCAAGTGAGGGAAGATAGCTTGAAGGCGGCCACCCTGCTTTGCGTTTGCGGCCAAGACGCCTTCGAAATCGCAGAAAACCTTGCAGCACCTGTCCCAGTAGAGTCTGTAAGCTACGCAGACCTGAAGAAGCTGCTGAAGGAGCACTTCCACCCCAAGGTGTCCGTTATCTCATGGCGCCACACCTTCGAACAAAGGGATCAACGGTCCGGTGAGTCAGCCAAGGAATACATCGCCGCGTTACGGAAGGCCGCCAAGCCCTGCGAGTTCAAGGACCTCGAGGAACGACTGAGGGACCGATTCGTGTGCGGGTTAAGGCATCGCGAGCTACAACAGAGACTTTTCGCAAAGGAAGAATTATCCTTCCAAGACGCCTTAAGGGAAGTCACCGCAGAAGAAGCAGCAGGCGGCGCCGTCAAAAACATGCGGCCGATCAGAAACAGTGCAGAGGGTGCGTCCGTGCACCAGGAAGACGTCCGACGAAACTCCGAGGAGGATCCGGACGAGGAAGTCGACCGTCTACACCCCGCGAGGGAAGAGAACCAGAAGGGAAGCTCTTCGGCTCCGCTCAAGTGCATCGGCTGTGGAGGTCGCCACAGGAGAACCGACTGCAAGTTCCGCTCCGCTACCTGCCGGGCATGCGGTAAACAAGGGCACATTGCAGCTGTGTGCCTGGGCCGACGAAAGGCACAACCCCAAGAAGAACGCCTGAAGGGTACCAGATTCCCCAGCCAGAATAGGGTAGGTTTTTGCGCTTCGCGAAGAAGCATCTGTAGAACAGGCACACACAAGCCCATGAAGAAAAAGCTGTCACTCAACGTGAAGCTACAAGGGGTTCCATTATCTATGGAACTAGACACAGGGTCTGCCCTGTCCATCATTTCATTGCATACATTTAGGAAGATTTGTTCCAGAAGTGGGTCTAAGGCCAAGTTAAGGCCTTCTGATATTGTATTAACAGATTTTCAGAACTCAAGAGTGTGTGTTAAGGGGGAGGCCACCCTTAACGTGCAATACAAGAGTTTTGAAGGTCCACTAGACTTATTAGTAGTAGGGGGTGAACGAACGAGTCTCATAGGACTCGATTGGTTTGAGGCCCTGGGGATACACGTCACAGGACTCAATAGCTTACAAACACTCGACCTACAGGAAGTCTGCAAAGAATTTGCAGATGTTTTCAGCCCCCAGCTGGGCACATTCAAAGGACCACCTGTGTCCTTAAAGCTAGACCCCACTGTCACTCCCATTAGGATTAAAGCAAGAAGGGTCCCTTTTGCTTTAAAAAGTAAGATTGACACTGAATTAGACAAACTAATCCAACAGGGAATCCTAGAACCTGTTGATTCCAGCCCGTGGGAGACCCCCATTGTCACGCCTCTAAAGGCAAATGGGGACATTCGCATTTGTGCTGATTACAAATGCACACTCAATAAGGCATTGCAGCAACATGCCTATCCTGTTCCTGTGGTCAGTCACATCCTGGCCTCTCTCAAGGGGGGGGGTGTTTTTGCAAAGCTTGACCTAGCTCAAGCATATCAACAGCTGCCTGTTGATGATGATGCTGCCATAGCTCAGACCATTGTGACCCACAGGGGAGCCTTTAAAGGTAAAAAGGCTACAGTTTGGAGTGAATGTCGCTCCTGGGATTTTCCAAAGCGTTATGGAAAACACACTACGAGGTATACCAGGGGTCTGCCCCTACTTTGACGATGTCTTGATTGCAGGAGACTCCACACACATTCTAGCTGAAAGGCTTAGGGCTGTCCTGTTAAGATTCAGGAAATCAGGCCTCAAGCTCAGAAAAGACAAATGCCAGATTGGGGTGCCTTCTACTGAATTTCTGGGATTCAAAATTGATGCTGCTGGGATTCATCCTGCTGAATCCAAACTAACTGCTATTTTAGATGCACCCAGGCCAAAGTCTAAGGCCGAACTTCAGGCCTTCCTAGGCCTCCTGAATTTCTACAATTCTTTTCTTCCACATAAAGCTAGTGTAGCTGAGCCTCTTCACAGGCTACTAGACAAACAGGCTGTGTGGCTGTGGTCACAAGCGCATGAGGCTTGCTTTAAAGAAGTCAAGGCCTTGCTCACTTCTAACAGTGTTCTTGCACATTTCAACGAGTCTCTCCCTGTGTGCATCGCTTGTGATGCGTCCCCCTACGGGGTTGGAGCTGTCCTGAGTCACCTCAGGTCTGATGGAACTCAGGTTCCTATTGCATACTACTCCAGAACACTGTCTTCTGCCGAGCGCAACTACGCTCAGATAGACAGGGAGGCTCTGGCTGTTGTTGCTGGAATTAAAAAATTCCACGATTTTCTATATGGCAGGCATTTCACGGTCTTCACTGACCATAAGCCTCTGCTGGGACTGTTTACCACACGTAAGCAGACTCCCCACATCATTTCCCCTCGAATGCTTAGGTGGTCTATTTTTTGTCTGCATATGATTTTTC